GGAAAAAAATTTAGGTAAATGAATTTGAGAGTATGCTAGAAAGGGAAGTGAAGGAACACAAGGAGATGCAAGCTCGTCTTGAAAGAGAGGTGAATTTACGAGATGAGATGGAAGTTCGTCTTCATGGACAAATGCTTGAACTAGTTAAACAATTGACGAAAAGAGGTTGGCTAAACCACCTAGTCCTAACACTTTTATTGTCGAATATGTATTTGAAACTTTTTAGTATTATGTTTTTACTATCGAAATTGTATTTGAAACTTTTTAGTATTATGTTTTTACTGTTGAATATGTATTTGAAATTTACATATTTAACTTTTATCAAATACTAGATTATGACCCGCGTTAAACGCGGGGAGCATATAAAAAAACATAGAATTGTAAACATATATTACATCATAGGAATCATGACAATTAAAAGTACATTACCAAAGCTATTTTAAATTCATTAACATACATTACAATAGCTATTTTAACCTCATAAAAATTAAAAGAATAAATATAGAGTAATATAAAATATTAAAATAGTTCATTACAAAAAAACAACTATGTTCGAATGCAAATTAAAATATATATAATCACTAATATCTACTTGGCATAATCACTGTATCAAAATCAGAAAGGATTGAAAAAACTTGTTGAGAAGGATGTGCCGGAACCACATACTCAATCGTATGTCCTTTAAAGAAATATAGGGTATTGTTTCTATAATCCCACCATTCATGTGCACCTTCATTGTAAGTACTAACATCTACTTTAACCCACTGATTGTGAATGAAAACCCAAATAGCCCAAAAACGTTCTCCACTTACAGAGAAATATCCCAATTTTCCGTGAAACTTGATCAGTCTCGATGCATACGGTTTGAAGTCATTAATAGTAGAAGGTGCAAATATGAGTATATGTTCTTCTGAATAAATATCAAATCGCAATATGGTATCATTAGATAATAAGAAATATACGACACCGCCACTTGTAACTGCCTCATAGAAACAGGATAAACAGATGATGGTAACTGGATATTTTGAAACTCCCTCCATTGCCATGTAGTAGATGAAAACAATTCTATGTTGTAGTAATCGTAGTCAACTTTTTCCTTAGGCATATCACTACAAATAAAATAACATATAAGTAAATAATAAAGTAAACTAATAACATAAAATACACTACATATAAACTCTTACGATGGCTTTGTGTATGACAATCGAATGACCTTGAAATGTAACAGGTTCGAACTGATAACTACCAAAGCAAACTTTGTCGCAGTATTCAGAGGTCGGAAAAGGTGTCCATTTGGCATCTGTAGTTGTTGGTTTGATAACAAATAAAATCTTTGAAACGTATTCATTTGGATCATAGGATTCAGCAAGAAGGAGTCCACACAATGATGATGCTAAAATAGTACAAGTATGTGGTAGCCAATCAATGTCGAGATTGTTGCTAGCAGAAGACGGAACAAACTGACGTTCTATATTTCTCCATGGTTTATTTTGTTGAACGATAATTCTACAAACCACATTATTTCTACGGTTGTAGTTATGAAGAACATAGTTATTGTATGTTAGATTTCCATAATATTTATTTGTACAACGTATGGTAGCAAATGTTTGTAATGATGTTCGTGAAAGAATTTCAATAATTAGTTCAGAAGTCAATAACGATAACTGCAAAGAAAGAAATAATAAGATAATAATATTAGAAAAACTTAAAATTTAATCTTTCATGACATACGAATTAAATTAATAATAAGTATAATGTTTGTAGTATTGACGGTAAAGAATTTTACCCGATCCATTTTAAATATTTTTTTCAATTCTTCAATGATTGTATTGTTAGGCGTGATCCTTGAGATAACATAACTTTCTGTTTTGTGTTCTTCAAATTGTCATGTTTAATTTGAATTTTGAACGCCATCTTTTTTTCCAATAGTATCTTCAGAACAGATGGATAAATTTCGTTATAAAAAAATTAAACATATAAATAATTTATTTATTGTTTGCTTCATCTAGAAACATTAGTAACCCTGTTGTCTTCTTTTGATGGAATCAATCTAGAAACTTTGTATGTTAATTTCCGTCTACAATATCATAGTATTATTTTTCATTGATTGGCTTGGCAGATCTTATTTACATTTAATTATATAAAATTTAAATTTTTTTTATTACTGCTGAACATAAAATTTGGCTTTGAGATTGGTGCCAACTTATTTTTACTTAACATCCTTTAATACATGTGATGCTGACCTGTCATGTGGAATAGCAGGTCCAACAAAATCTTTATGCACTCAGACTCCAGGAAGTAACACATAAATTCCTAAATAGTTTTATTTTTTAATATGTTAACGTAAAACCATAAAACAAAAATCTTACTACATAACGTAAAAACATATGCAAACGATGTATATTAAAAGGTTTTAAATTAGGTAAAAATAAATTTTGTATATACTTAAATAAAGGAATTGATTATTAGTTGGGTTTAAATTAGATAAAAAAATAAAGTCTGCTTATATGCATATGGAGGGAATATATGCAGTATAAAAAAATAGATTTTGAATACTTAGAGGACCCAAGTACAAAATGGAAGAAAGTTAGACCTCATTTAGGTGAAAGGTATTCTTCAGCTAAGGAGTTGAAGTTTTGTTTAACAATTTTCCCAATTACTAACAGATTCCTTCTAAGGTTTGTTAAATTTGATGCAAATAGGATTTAAAATTTCTTTCCATACTTTTGGTCCATACTAAAACAAACACCTTAATCATTATCATTATCATAACACACAAAATCAAAGAAATAAAAGTATTACAGAAAACAGTAACAAAAAACAAACTTAAATATGAATTTGCTGCAAAAAGCAATAACATGTGAAAAGTGAAAGACAGAAAAAGACAATTTGATCATATAAAGTGACGAAAATTTTTAAAAAAAAAAGAAAAAAAAAGACGATCGATTTTATCAAGTAACAATCTATTAAGCAAATGAGACATTTATACAAATTTTAGGCAGATATGGATATGGATATGCTGACATCACATGGACCACATCCCTCCCCAACCCAAATAACCACAAATGTAGAACTCAATAGTACCAGGTTGTTTCCGACTCCACTGGGAAAGCCACTCACAGTCTCTCTAAATAATAACCATAATAAGATAAAACCTTAAAAACATATTAATAATAACCCAAATGACCCATTTACCCTTTCCATATAATCCTATTAACAATTTAAGTGATAGTAGTAAGAGTTGATGCTCACTTTTTTGGCTGCAAGCATGCCGAGATTGCCAGCACCACCACACTCCAAAATAAAATTTAAGGAAATTGATTTGGTTCAAGTTGGAGTGTGTAACTTCATGTCATGATGATAAAGAAGAGGATCAAATGCCACATCAGAACAATCACGAATGACCTTCACACAACACAACACAACACAGAAGAACAAAGTTCATACAAATACAAGGGTAAAGAATGTAAAAACTTGAAAGTAGAAGGGTCAAAAAAAAATAAAAAATGCCGTGCACTGCTCAGAGAAATCACACAAACTGATTGCCTTTCCATGTAGACTGCCCCCCTTGTTGGTCCAATCGAGGAAGGGGAACATACTGCTGTTGAAGAAGTGTTTCACGGTGATCTGAGCTTCCAAGAGTGGCGGTTTCCGGCCAATTTTGTTGCCTTGCGCATTCAAACTGAACTTGAACTTGTTTCCCGGGAAACGGAAAACTTGAAGTAGTAGCAACGGATTCATTCATATTCATATAGTGGGTCCCGAAGTTTACTGGTTGTACCCCTCCCCTGCCTTCATTGATGATTGCAACTGATACCCATCCAACCATCTATAATCATCATTCACAGGATTCTGATTTTGTCCCACTTGCTTATTAAAATTATTATTACCTGTCTATGTCCTCTTGAACCAAGGTATGGAGAGTGGCAACTGTAATAAAATTAATAGCCTCAATTCCAGCAATTTTTCCATTACATGTCACAGATCTATAGTTTCCAGTCAAATGGTATGATTGATTCTGTGTGTACAGGTTGGCAATATCATATCTTGATATTAGGCAACCAAGTGAGTGGCCTATAATTGAAATGTTTTCAACATTAGGATTGCATTCTATGACAGATATCACCTGCATGCAAAAACACCACTTTTACTTCAAACTACAATGCTGTCATAGCAGAAAATGAATCTACAAATAAATTATAAATATTTCTAGGTCTTGCATTTAACCCTAAAAAAGGAGGAAAATGGAAAAAAGGAAAGATACTCACCTCATCTGCTAATCTGCTTCCGATCACATCAATTCCATCAAGTGTTGCTAATGCAGAGTTACGTTAAATGCCTGTAGAGCATATATCCATACAGAAGATATAGCATTAAAATTTTAATGAAGAGTAATTCACATCAGTAAGTTTGATAAGATTATAATCATCACAGGTTGAACTCATGAACAT